TTTCAATGCACAAGCCTGTGGGGACGTTTTACATTCAGATGGTCGCATGTGCCGGCACTCCCCTCATGAGAAGCAACAGCTCCTACTATGATCTGTATGTCACAGATGGTTGCACAGGGGCCACATGACTGTCAAGTCCAAGGCTGCAGTGTCAGCGAGCAAGATAGGGCTGTCCTAGGGCTGCCTTGGTTCTTTCTCAGCTCTGTGGTTTGTGCTCTGAATGCTAAGAGCAGCTGTGTGCTGCCACTCTGTACAAACCGGATGTGTATGTGATGCCATTCAAAGTTTAAAACTTAAAACAATAGAAAACATTCCTATTCATTTCAGACAAGGTACTGATGTATGTGTATATGTACATGTATGTGTATGCACATACACACACATATATGTCACAAATGGAAAATTAAAGGCAAAATGAAAAATATGAACAAACAGTTCACAAAAAGAAATGCCAATAACTTTATTTAGGGACACCCATCTTCAAAAATACAAATGAAGACAAAACACTGACCTACTGCACGGTCAAATCTGGGAAAGTCTATTCCTTTCAATGTTCTGACCAGAAGAAAATCAGGAACACCTTATCACTGGAAATACAAATAGATAGGATTTTAAAATGATAACTTGGCATAAATTCTCAAGAAACTCAATGCATCTACCCTCTAGTCCATTAGTTCAGTTTCTGAGTATCTAATTCAGAGATACCTAGTTACTTGGAGATGTAGAAACACTAGGCTGTCCACATAGCCAGTGTTATGACAGCCTTGCTCAGTGTAAACAAGATGTCTCAAGGGTGCTGAGTTTTTCTGAATTTTTTTTGGCAAAGGAATGTTTTCTTGATGGAGAAAAGAAGGATATTGATGTATGTTTTGGTGTGAACTCTTTCTCTCAATGTGGAGTAAAACTCTGAGTATCAAATAATAACCCCCAAATCTACCAATGGGTATTTGGTAAACAAATTATAACAGATCCAAAACTAAAATCTTATCCACTTATGAAATGAAATCTACATATAATGATGGAAAGATAAACATGGACATGGAAAAATTGGATGAAGCACCATATACACTAAAAACATAGGAAAAAAGAAGTCTGTGTATTCACCACGTGACAATATATAAAAACCAACTAAAAGCAGTTTTAAAAATTGAGCATAAGATCTCAAACCATAGGACTAGTAGAAGAAATACTTTAAGACACTGGGATAGGTAGAGGTGTTTTTCAGACAAAATCAGTAGAAAAATGAGGTTACATAAAACTAAAACAGTCATCCCTATGGCAACTGATTAACAGGAGGAGATTCAAATCTATAGATTTGAAGATTCATGCAGACTGCACCTAACCAGATGTTGATGTACAGGCGGTATAGAATACAGGGACTCCACTCCATAAAAGGAAAACACAAGCTATTGACATTTGTTTCTAGAAGGAGGGGACTGGGAGAATCACTGGCTGCTCACATCCCCAGTCCCCACAAGACATTTTGATGAAATTGTGCTGTACTTGTATATGACCATTGGGTGTGGATGAGAGGCTAGAATAAAAGATGGGGGAAGAATAAGAGAAAACAGGCTCCATCTGTGAGGTATGGGGAGGCCATCACCCCTGCTGGGTGAAGACACCTTCCAGTGCAGCTGCTTTGGGGTGATCAGTCAACCCTCACCCATCCTCTCTAGGTAAGTCCAATAAACCCATTGGTTACCAGAGTGAATGGTGGTAGAACTGTACTTTGGTTTGTTGTTAGGACCTTAGGAGGAGGGAGTAGATGTTCATATCTTCTCCAGGGAAGGAATTTTAGCAACATAGACATTTCTTAAAAAAATGCGTAAGAGTGGAAAGAAAACTTTGACATCATCAATTACTAGGGGATGCCCTGGGAGACATCACCTCAACCCAGTAGAGACTGCCATCGTAGGAGACGTAAGATAGCGAGTGATGGCAAGCATGTGAAAGAAAGGTAACCCATCCATATTGCTGGAAGGTTTGTTAGGATAGTTATGAAAATCAGTATGGCATTCCCCTCAAACAAAATAGATTATCTTAGTACTTCAGAATAACTATCCAATATGACCTCTGGATACACATCTGAATGAAATGAAAACAGCATATTGAAGACAAACATGTGCCCATGTTTGCTTTGTTGTGGAATATTAGTTTAAAATGTGTTACATTCATTTATGCGGTGGAATCGTTGTTCAATGATGTAAAGGCATGTTGTATTCTTTTATGCTGCATTTGTTTAACTCTGTAAAGCTGTGTTATTTTGCCTGCCTAAAACACCTGATTGGTCTAATAAAGAACTGAAAGGCAAATAGCGAGGCAGGAGAGAGAATAGGCAGGACTGGTGGGCACAGAATAAATAAGAGAAATCTAGGCTCAAGAAGAAGAGTGAGGATTGGGAAAAGGAGAAGGAGAGGAGGACACCAGGGGTGAGTCATCTAGCTACACAGCCAGCCATGGAGTAAAGAGGAAAAAGAGATATATAGAATAAAGAAAGGTAAAAAGCCCAGAGGAAAAATGTAGTTAAAGAGAAGTAGGATAATTTGAGTTAGAAAAGCCGGCTAGAAACAAGCCAAGCTAAGGCCAGACATTCGTTAGTTAGAACATGTCTCAGTGTATTTATTTGGGAGCTAGGTGGTAGACCCTCCCAAGAATAAAAAGACCAAACAAAACTAAATGTCTTTATAATGATTATTGTAGCATTGCGGGTATGGGGGGAGCAGAGAGATAATAGAGGTAGGGTTCAAAGATAGAGTAAGAATATGCTCTAGAGCCCCCACTAGTTGGTAATAATGTACTTACTGTAAACCTCAAAATACTTAAATACTTAAAAATATCTAGAGGAGAGGACTTGGAATGTTTGCCACAAAGAAATAAGACTTTGGAGGGATATGCTAATTGCCCTGACTTGATTATTCTACTACACATAAATGTATAGCTATCACACTCTACTAATAATCTGAATAACTATTACACATCAATTAAAATTAAACCCAAAGCAGAATAACCATACTAGATGTGTTACAGGCCAAATTTGCAGAAATTAACTGTGGGCTAGCATTTGTTTTCAAAGTCCTACCCTCTATTTGTTTCTTTTTTTTTTCCTGATTCTTTTTTCAGGACAGGGTTTCTCTGTGAAGCAGTCCCATGGGGGTCCTGTGGCACACACTTGTAATCACGGTGCTATACAGACTTCTGTGCAGTTTGCAGAGCATGTCACCTGATGTCTTGGTGACCAGCACAGACTCTGTTTATGAGTCTCTGCTTGCTATGCCACTTAGCTGGATGGATTTAAAGAGAGGACTGTGGCCAGTGGCAGCGTGTGCTAAACACGGTTATTTAGAGCATAGGCAGCAGGTTGAGTTTAGTCATCTTGAGCCGTGTGGAGGGGAACCGAAGGAAAAGCAGTCCTTGTCACCCGAGTGAAGGGTACCACTAAACACACTGTCTTTGACTGGTGTGTTTGCCTTTCCTCTCCTTTGCTCCACTTCCCGCGTAGGTGTAGCATTCAAAGTGATGGCGATGAGTGGGTTGCCTTCAGCGCTCTAACTCTGGTACCATGGCCACTGCAGCCTTTCAAGTCGGGAGTCTTTCCAGGCTTGTGTCTCCTATCCCACCTACACTTCCATCTTTACAAACATCACACGGACAAATTACGTCATGTGACAATATTTCCCACTTACTGAGCTGCTATGTGTCAGTCACTGTAGTAGGCATTTTCACATTTTTTCACATTTGTTTATTCCACTTCATGAGTGTGGAGATCAGAAAACAACTTACGGGAGTTAGTTTTATCCTTCTACCATGTGGGTTCTGGAGAGCAAAATTTTGACAGGCATGGTAGCACAGTCCTTACCCACTGACCCATCTTGCTGGGTCATCTGTTAGGAATAATGCCAGCTGTAGGTTGGCCAGCATAATGCCCAAATTCTTACATTATCTACTATTTCAGTTTCTCACAAACCCTACAAGGGTTAGCTCCTTCCTCAAGCTTTGCATATAAAAACCCAAAGACTGAGTCTGGATCTTGCAGTCACGGGGCGGGGGGGGCAGAGCTGACACTCCAAATACAGACCTGCCTGGCTTCTCAGCCAAACTTCTCTACTGTATAGAACACACTGGTAATGGACAGGGCCACTGTATGATCAAAGTATAAAAATGCATAAGTATGAAAATGTCATGACAAAACCCTTTATTTTGTATGCCAATAAAAAGTTTTTAAGGCCATGAATGAACAAATATGGAAAAAGAATGCTTATTGTATTATCTATGGAAAGAAAGAATTTAGTTCAGTCCAGAATTTAAACAGTCCGTGTTGTGCTCTTGTCCTTGGGTCTTAGCAGGTGGGTTGGTGGCCTCAAGTGATAGAATTCAAACTTGATCCAACTATAGCACTCTCCATGCCATGACCCACATGTGAGCTGCTCCTGCCTACCGCTCCGTCTCTCTGGGCAGCTTCCAAAGGCAAACGAAACCCATATGATCACTGAAGTCTAGAAATGAACTTTTATTTCATATCTGTCAAGAACTCCGGACAGTTATTAATTTTATTAAAATACAATTGTAAAATAAAAAGAGGGTGGATCTCTCTCTTTCTTCAGTATAAATTATGTCTTAGCCTATCTGCTGCTGGCTTGGCGTTGTTTAAGGTGCTTTTGAGGGGCAAGGGGACTCTGAGTTCCAGACAATTTTGACAAAAGCAATGAAAGAAAAATAATAAATTAAAAGTAATTGTAGTTGGAGACATTGCTCAGGATATGCTAATGATAAGGTTTTGATGTGTGCACAGGCTGGACTCTGAACTTTGGTACTTTAAAGAAAGCATGTGGATAGTGTCCTGTCATTGCATTTCTAATTGCATGCATTTCATTGCATGTGGATAGTTTTGCATTTCTAATACAGAACAAATTCACTGTTTTTTCCCCCAAAAGATGGAAAAAACAGAACATGACAATTTCAATAAAATACAACCAGCATTCATTTATGTAATTGCAACATGGTAAAACAAAAACACTTTTATTAAAATATTTAATACCAGAATAACTTATAATAGTATGAAAAAGAGTGAAGTATTCGTCCTTGTTTTTGCTGCTACGCTCACATCTGGGCAGAGCTGTGGTGATCTCCACTTCGCACCCTGGATTTCAAAGTATCGAGGGTGTAACAGAAGAACCCAATACCCCATCTATTCACACAGTCATCATGTGCAAGTCTCACCCTGGGCTTCCTGTCACTGAAGACCGCACTTAAGAAAACAAAGTAAAAATATACATACAAAATATTTCCATATCAAATTATCTTCATTACACTAGATAACCCCCACCCCACAATGCTATGATACATGAAAAAGTGTCCTACGATGGCCGTCAAGACAGCCATGTCCACTCAGCAACCAGAGCAACCTTTGGCTTTTAAAAGCATTTTGTAAAATAAAGAAAAATGTCAGCACATGCTGCACTATTGGATGGCATTCACACTTGCAAAAATGCTTTCCAGTCTAAAAAAAATTACAAAATAGATTACATACCCAGAAAAAAAAATCCCATCCCAAAATAGCCCAGTCGTTTCACTTTGCCATTAAACATTTGCTTTGTCTTACTCGGCGTCTCCAATTTCTTTAGGTTTCAAGTCTTTCCAAGCTGGGTAGGATGTTATTGTTAGATGAAAGAGACACTTCTTCCTTGATAGTGATTATTCTCACTCAGTGGCAGTGTCATTTAGAAACAAAATGTTCTTTCTTTCAATGTAAGAGTTCACTTAATTTTTACTTGAATGTTCTACTTGGCACAAACCAGAGACTGTTCATGTTTTGTTTCCCATATGTTTTAAATTTAAAAAATCAATTTTCTGCACGTATATGTATATCCACATACAGATATTTTCCCTTCATTTTCTTGTTCTCATTGCAATACAAATTGCCCATCAGAATTGTGACTTGAAATGAACCAAATAAAAGCTTTTAGTTACTCTGTATGGAAGCCAGCTTCCTTCACAAAGGAACACTGAACTCCAATGCAAACAAGATTAGGTCTTAAAACTAAACTATAGGTTTAGTTTACACAGGAAAAAAATCAGTGATTTATATAATAAGGCTCTTTGCAAAACTTCAGAAAAAGAAAAATCCAAATTAGTTGTAAAGGGCATTGGGATGTTTTCCACAGTGCTCGGGAAAATAATTTGTGATTACAGTGTGCTGTAAATACTGGTTTGGAAGTGTCCTTTCTTAAACATATACATCACGTGAGCCGTTAACATCACATACAGGCTGCACCTTCTATTTTGGCAGCTGCTAACATATCAGATACACAAACAAAACCCACACATAAAATTCTCACTGTTACCCTGGAAAGTACAAAGAACAATTTCCAGTCCCATAGGCATTACTGGGAAGGGGGTGGGGCGCAAAAGCACTTCATCTGGGCTGAACAGATTTCCAAGTTTTAACGTGTGAATGACTGAATTTATTTCAAGGGCTTTCAGCGATTCTGGCTTCGGTCCTGCACCAGTTTGGAATGATGCGGTCTAGCAAGTGTCGGCATCGGCTGTTTGAGGCACAGCTCTCCACTGTGCCCACGTTGGAGCTTATCTCAGGGAAGCAAGGCACTTACTGTAATGGTAATGCAAATGCTTTATGCATAGTTTCTGTAACATAAAATAAGTTAATATTTCTGATTAAAATGATTTTTATAATTTATGTGTCTTTTTATAGAAGCAACTGATATATTTAGGATAGCTGAACTTAGGAGGTTTGGATGGGAGTCCTCTTCACCCCTGCTTTGGCTCTTAGGATGAGGATTTAGGTAAAAAACAAAGCAAAACACTGACATGCTCAGCGACCCCTGGCCACGCTAGAAGCTAGAAGCGTTGTGGCAGAGGCAGCTTGACTGTCTTCACTTCTGCTATGTGGGAAGACTTCTGGATGATGCAACTGGTTGTCCCCTGCACTTCGTCCTTCCCCTGGGCGAGGTTTGTTAAGGCCATGGCTGCATTGATCTCTTTCCAGTACGTGTCATCCTTGCTTGGGCCCCTTCTGTTAGCTGCACTGCATGTGTGCAAAAGAGAAGGGAAAGGATCAAACCCACTGTGCTGAGCACTGGAGACAACATTATAGCAAAGCACCAATGGCAAATGAAGCCGGTTTTGCTCACCTGTCACCTTTATTCGATCCAATGTCCAGAGTGTCTGTAAGGAGAAGCACAAATTTAGTCACTTGTCTCTTGGGCTTTTTCTTTTAAGATTTATAGTATTTTTTTAGCTCTTTTTATCTTTCTCAGTGTGTGTGTGTGTGAGAGAGAGAGAGAGAGTGGGGGAAGGGGAAGATGGAGGAAAAGAGAGGGAGGGAGGGAAGGAGAGAGAGAGAGAGAGAGAGAGAGAGAATATGTGCAGTTGCCCTTGGTGGCCAGAAGAGGGCATTAGATTCCCCCTCCACCAGCTGGAGTTACAGGCAGTTGTGAGTCACCAGCTGTGGGTGCTGGGAACAAAAAGCAGGTCCCCTGCAAGAGCAGAAACTGCTCTTGAACACTGAGCTATCCCTCCAGTCCTGTTTAATCTCAGGACATCTTCATTAATTGCCAAGGATAAAATTTCATCCGGAAATACGGTTGACATTAATTTTTAAAACACGATCCCAGAAGTTATTAAGGAGAGAAATATTAATTTGCTGAAGGAAGCTGAGCCTTCAGAGAAGGGCTGTGCAGAACGTGTACTGGCTGTACTGGGCCAGTCAACACTCTTGCTCATTTCTCACCTATTAGCAACTATCAGCACATTCCCGTGCCCCATAAGGGTGATTTATTTTCTTCAACAACAGAATAAGGAGTTTCCTAGAAGCTGGTGAGACAGCCCCCCCCCTTAATATTCTGCAATTTTCTGGGACTCAGGCTTGAGGAGAGAGATGAGACTGACATGTCTGGATAGTCAACAATGTTGACAGTAACATGATGCCCCTGGCACATTAGAAGAAGCCAGAGTCCAGTCTCCAGAACTACTGGCCCTGCTGTTACAAGAAATGACGGGAATGGCTTATGTGTGCGCACCTTTACCCATGGTGCGTATTTGCTCCCCTGTCTCAGATCCCTAATCTTTTCTAACACCATGAAAACACAAGGAAAGATGGAGATGGGCTCTGGGTGTTGATTCATTCCTTTGACTACAGGAACATGGCCTGGGGACACAGACGCTGAATCATTAGGGGATACAATGTGCAGGCCAGGAGTGGGAGTGGGGTAGGGTCTCCCCGTGAGCTCAGCAGACTCTGAGTCTAGGTAGTGGATAAACCTTGGTCACCACCATGGCTGCTACTGCCACCACCACCACCTATGTCTGTACCAACAGAAGAGAATAGCCGGCATCTGGTGAAGGGAGCCTCAAAGGACAGAAAGAAAGCACAAAATGCACAGTGTGCTCCAAGTCCTCCTCTTCCGATGACCTCTGCAAACCAGTCCTTTCTTGGCTTCAGTCCTTCCCTTCGCCTCTTCTTCCTATTCACGATTTCCCAAGGCTTTTTTCTCTGTTGTGAGCAAGGTTTGCTAGGCAGTGCAATTTTACGCCCAATTCAGAGCTCTTAAGAGTCAGAGCCCAGGAAGGCTCAGCGGAAAGAACAGCAACATAGCTACTACAATGCAGTCCAAGAATCTTCTGGTAACCGCCTCTTCCGTGCTGCTTTAACATTTTTTCAAAGATGGTATTTATGTATTAATGGGGTGTATGTGTGAGCCACATCATATGTTCAGGTCAGAGGACAGAATTTTGTCCTTTCCTTCCACCATGTGAGTCCCAGGGTCGAAGCCTGTTTGTCAGGTAAGATGGCAGGTGCCTCCAGTCACCGAGCCCTCTCAGAGTCCCTGTTCCCATTCTGAGGTCTTCAGCTCTAGTGACTATGGAGTCGTATGTCTCTAGTACATGTTTCCACTCGCTAATGACAGGCACAAGATGCCACTAAAACAGAGAATGAGTCAAGGTATTCGAATGGGAAAGTCAGTGACATTGGACATTTTACACTGAGAGAGAAAAGAGCAGAGAGGTGGGAGACAGGAGAAAGGAGAGGAGAGACAGAGACAGAGAGAAATAGAAAATTAATATTTTGGTCTTTGCTCAATTTTTCCCACAAATGTCGCCAAAAGTGAAGCAATAGGTTATGGGATGCTTAGTCAATGGAAAGCTTTGTCAAAAGCAGAATAAGTTCCATGAAGTGCAGACCTCAGGGAAATAAGAAAAGACCAGGTTCTGATGCTCCGGTTCATAGCCTAACTAGTTCCCACGAGTGATGGGGCCAGAATGTGGTTTCCTACGTGACAGGTCAGCTGAGGGTGGTGACTGCAGACAAGCAGGGAGCTTGAAGCTTCTGTTAGACATGTAATGTGATGCAGAGTCCTGAAATGATATTGCCTGCATGCAGAGGGACACGGGGTTCCTCCAGATGAGGAGGAAGCCTTATGTTCTGCACCCCCAGAGTGGCTAGATGTTGCTGGCATCCACTGTGGCTGACTCCCTAAAGTCAAGCCACTGGGAAATTATGAAATTCTGCTTACTTAGAAAGGAATGTGTTTTACAGGTTTGTGCCTATAAAAATATCTCTGATGTGTAAAAACCCATGCTCAAAGCCTTGCTTGGGCATTCTAATTAGTTTCACAAATCTCTCTCTCTCTCTCTCTCTCTCTCTCTCTCTCTCTCTCTCTCTCTCTCTGTGTGTGTACAATGACTGTACACATGTGCACATTTGTGGGTGTGAATGTGTGTGCTCATGCTGCATAGGACACAGGGAGAGGTCACTGGGCACCATTGGTGTTGGCTCTGCCTTGTTCTAAGTAGAGTCATTTGCTCACTGTCCTGCATACCTGACTAGCTGGTTCCTCCAGTTTCCAAGGTTTCTTCTGTTTCTACCTCCTTTCTCCCTGTGGGAGCACAGGTATTACAGATGTCCCTACTATGTGCCCAGCTTTTACATGAGTCTTGAGGATTTGAACTCACATCCTTCTGCTTGCATGACAAATGCTTTTATCCAATGAGCCATCTCAGTAGCCCCTATTTTTTTAAACAAGTCTTACAATGCCATCTGGTGCATGAATTCCAAAAGTGAACTTTACACCTTTTTTAAGGCATTTGGGTACAGTTTGTGTCATAAGGTAGCACTGGTTCCGAAGTCAGGGGCAGAACTGTATAAGCTGTAACAGCTGGGAGACAGCTTGTGTTTCTATCATGGCTAAAACTGTCCCAAAGTGCACTCTTGAAAAATTCAGACCAGTTGCAAAAGCTGACTGTCATCACTTGGAAGCTTTTCTGCATCTAGGGTGTCTTGAGTTTAAAACATAGACTGGTGTTAAAGGGGCAGGACTTTTGTTTGGGTATTACTGGGGCTTCCTAGTGTGAGTAGGGTATTCGATTTAGACCCCCCTCCAGGAATGATGAGTCTAGTTCCCAGATGACCCACAGAAGGAAGTTCGCAAACAACCTCTTTCTTCTTGGGAACATTTGTGCATTCTCTGGAAAGCAAGAACTCTAAAGATCTGCCAGTTTGGGAACTTCTATTTATTTTGCTGAGATGGAGTCTGGGGACATCGCAGCTATTTTAGAGACTGACACCATCTGAGGACAGCCCAGCAAGCTTATAATCCACAGCTAACACTGGATGGTGCCACTAAATGCTGTCACTTCCTTCTTGCCTTTTCTTTGTCCTCTTTTCCAGTTGAACTAGTTGTCCTTTCAGTCCACAGTCAGTACTTAAGGAATCTTGGGGATGTTGTCCCCCATCACTGGTAGTCATGATGCTCAGGTCACTTTCATCCACCCATGACAGCTGGTCTTATGGGCTCCCTTCTGGTAGGAGTACCAGGAGAAGTAAAGATGCAGAAAGTCAGAAGAGAACAGGGACCCAGGTTACAGACGTGCTGCAGGCTCCTTGGAGGAACATATGAACATGCGCAGAACAGGGTCTGCCACTGACATTTGATCAGTGGTATCTCACCCTGCAAATAGCTTGGCGCAGCCTCCCCAAAGTCTCAGCTAAAATGCCTCTTTGGATTCAAAGGCTCCAAAAAATCAACTATGTTGTCAATTACCATAAAAGCAATTGGTTGGCAGGAACTGCTTATTGGACCAGCCAAAAGAGCATGTTTTAAACCAAAAAAGAAAAGGAAAGAAGAAAAGAGTTGGGCACTTAGGAAAATCTTGAATGCCATAAAACTCAAAGCTTAAGGTAGGGCTAGCCTCAGTCTGGATGAGTGTTAAGCAAAGAAACAGTCACACAGAAAACACAGTTGCACAGCAATTCAGGTTATCTAAGCCTGGAGCTCAGTAGTCAGGGGGCCTTTCAACTTTCACGAATGCCATTTAGAAGCATCATAGTTTGGAGGTATATTCCTCAAATAACATCTGTAGGCCCAGAAAGTGACAAAAGTATGGCCAGCTCTTACTCTTCTGTGATACATTGTTCAAATTTAATGAATGAATCCTCAAGTTGGAAATGTTTTAAGTGTTTTCCTGAAAGAGTACTTGTGCCACTGCCATGTAAACAAAATGAAGGAAAATTAAGCGTGTGACTATTTTTCAAATTAAGTAATATGAAAATCGCATAGTAGACATTTCTCTAAATTAAAATGGAAAACATGAAAGAGAGGAAACTGGGGAATGTAGGAAGCAGGGAGAATGAAAGAGAAACACTTAAATTGTTCTGCCCAATTAAAGCAAAGCAGGCCATCTGGACTAGGCGGGTAGGGAAAGGAAGCCATAGTTTATACTCTAAGATGATAGAAGATGGTATCTACCGCACCCATCACATCTGGCCTCATGTCCTTGCAGGGAACTTAAATCCTTGGGGCATAGGTCAAGGATCTAAAGTGTGCCATAAACCCAAATGTCTGAATAGTAGGCTTCCGCAAAGGTGGTAAGGTTGGCAGCCATCGCTTGTGAGAGCAGTTGAGCATGGCCAAGGATTAGTGTGTGTGTCTTAGAGACAAGGGACACCAGACCAGCTTTGGTTTTCACAAGAGTGGGACTATGGATGAAAAGAACAAGACCCAGCAAGCAGGGTGGACAGAAATCCTCCCTGAGGATATGAAAATACCAACTGCTCAATACAATAAGACGTTATGGAAAAGCAGCAGCCACCCATTTGTCTCATCCCATTGTGATGCTTAGGATGTCTTTTCCCTCACATCAGGGTACCTGGCTGGACCATGCCCCGC